TTGTCTTGTGATGGAGGTCGGAGTGATCGTAGTGGGCGACAGAGGTCGGATGGACCGTAGTCGGCAAGAGTCCAGGGTCTGAAAGACCATTGTTGGCAGGAGACCGGGGTCTGAAAGATCGTTGTCGGCAGGAGACCAGGGTCTAAAAGACCGTTGTTGGCAGGAGACCAGGGTCTGAAAGACCGTTGTTGGCAGGAGACCTGGATCTGAAAGACCATTGTCTTGTGATGGAGGTCGGAGTGACCGTAATAGGCGACGGAGGTCGGAGGACCGTAGTCGACAGGAGACTAGGATCTGAAAGACCGTTGTTGGCAGGAGACCTGGATCTGAAAGACCATTGTCTTGTGATGGAGGTCGGCAGGACCATAGTCAGCAGTATTCTGGGAGAAATGTGGGCATCAGGTGGTGGCCTAGTGGAGCTCAAAGCCTCAAGTAGTGGTCCGGCGGAAGTCTGGGCTTCATGTGATGTTCTGGTGGAGCACACGGCCTTTGATGATGATCTGGCGAAGACAAGGGCCTATGGCAAAGGTGAGGGCCTTTGGCGAAGGTGAAGGCCGTTGGTAAAAGTGAGGGCCTTTGGCGAAGGTGAGGACCTCAGATGAAGATGTCAGGCTTGAACGTCGGGCCTTGAGCAGAATGTCGGGCCTGAACGTCGGGCCTTGAGATGGTGGTCCGGAGAGGCTCCGACGGTGGTCCGGCGAGGCTCCGGTGGTGGTCGAGGAGGAGCTTCTTCCTTCTCTTCCTTCTCCTCTTCTCTTCTTGCTTCTGCTTCGCCTCCCCTTTCTGAAGAATGAGGGCTCTATTTATAGATTTTCTGGAGTGGCATGCCCCGTAAATAGGTGAGAGATTAAGGGTAAATGGGGAGTGGTTGGATGGACGGCCGATATTGAACCCCTTGATCATGGACCGTTCGTCAGGCATTTGGAGGCCTTAGTGATTTTGGAATTTGGTGATCTTGGGTTTGTTGGATTTGTCTCGTCGAGCCGTTCGATTTGAGTATAATCTCGTTAAAATCAGAGACCGTTTGGTATCTCAAATTGTGGTTTGAACCTTCCAACAACGCTTCGGGTCCATGATTCAGACCCCATTGGACTCGGATCGAGTTGAATTTAGTGTCGTTGGGTTCGTATTTTCGAGACGCTCAGTTCGACTATAAGTTTGCTGAAATCGGAGTTTGGATGGTCTCCGAATTAATTTTTGAAGTTTCCAAACTTATTTTTGCCTCGAGATTCGTGCCCGATCAAGATAATTTTTCAACGACGTATTAAGATTCATTCTTAGTTATTATAATTCATTTCATAACACTAAGTTGGAGATCATCATTAAATTCAAGGTCTTCAGGGTATCATTCAAACCTCTTTAATAACATCATATACTAAACACCCAATCTCTTATATGAATATAATTTAAGATTTACGCTGATTTTGCATACAACCCTTTTTATGCACTTAAATTAAATTATGCTCCTAGTATTTTCAGAACCTCTCTTTAATAAGAGCTTTGGTAACATAGGTTAGTCTAATGGGGTATGTGGGAGAGAGTTAAAGGAGCTTGAATATTAGATCCAAAGGAAATCCAATTTTTTTTATTCCATTAGGACAACATAGTGGAAATCTTCTTCTAAGGTCTATTCATTTCATTCATAATATATATTCTATATCCAATGTTAATTTATTGTCCAAACACAAATCATTATCAGTATATTTAGTTATTAAAATTAAGTTTTCCATGTATTCAATAACTAGAAGACCACCCTATCTCAAATGTAGTAAGTAATTATGCAATTTCTTATCATGATGAATATGATTGTACTTAACTCTTTACATTTTCTTCATATCTACCTATATAAGGCTCATTCTTCATAATATTTATTCCTTGGTTAGGGTGTTTGCCTAATAAATTTTAAAATATGTGATTAGCATTTTCTTGATAACAATAAACCATTTATAGGGATCTATTTTATAAAGTTAAAGAAGTCATTCATTTGAATTAACCAGTTTAGAATTTGATTAGGGTATATACACTATCATAAGTAGAGGCTTCAACTTTAACTCTCTTAGATAGATCATTACATTCTTCAACATTTTTATAATGATTTCATCTCTACCTTCATGCCTATGTATTGGTGTACTCCTATTAGGTTGTTCTTCCTGAGGCTTAGGTAGGGCTTTTCTTCATCTTTGTACATGGGTACGTACAATATGAGTGGGTGCAATGGGAGGTATATGAATTCTATTATTTTTAAGTGATTCATTAAAACTTAATATTATTCATTAAGTTATTATATTTGAATTTTATTCTCTTCAAATTTTTATTTTAATTTTGTATCATTACCATCGATCTTAAGGTCTAAATCACATACCAGTTTAGTTAAGTTTTCAATTTGATCCTTAGAGACTACTTTTGGGCTCCACTTAGATGATTTAATTATTTATCAATATAAATGAGAGAAAAAAGGTCTAAAAATGAGAGGGAGAGATATACATAGATAGATAGAGAAAGAGAGAGAAAGAGAAAATAAAATATCAATACAAAAATGAGGTTAATCTTAGGGTAAAAGTGAGGGGGGCATGTAAGACCTCTCATAACCCATGTTGTAATAATTAACCCGTATTTTAATTGAAATAAATAATTTTTTTGGAGTCAATATAATTATAAATCACAAATCATCTTCTCTATAGTATTGTTATTATAATATTTTATTTAAATAAAATTTTTTCGTAATTTTTTAGCATTGTGAAAATTTTTTTAAAAATTGACACATGTCGGTACAAGTGAGAATTATAGGACCATCAGGTGTTCGTTTGACAAATTGATTTCACTTATATTTTTTAGATAAAATGATTTATTTTATGGATATTTTTTATAATTTTTAAAGCCAAATATGATTTATTTTATGAATTTTATATTGAAAAAGTGATTAAATTAAATATTATGAAAATATTTTATTATAAATATGCTAAGTCACTAACATGTTTTATTAAACTACTTTTTAAAATTTTATTTTTCTCACGCAATCGGATAACATAGAACTTTTAGGGAAAAAATAAAAGAAATTTGAGGAGAGAGAAAGAATAAGTTTTAATTTGGAGGTTAATTACCGAGTGATTTTTATCTGCCGAGTCTATTAAAAAAATTGTTCGTTTCGCTGTAAGAAACTTTCATGCTATTTCTGATTTAAAAAATTTTATATTTTTGATATTTTTTTGATCAATTTTGTGTTTATGTTACCAAAAAATGTGAATAATTTTTTATCGGTGAAACTTTTATGGTGTAACTTTTTATATGTTATAGGTATTGAGGTTATTAACATTTTGAGTATTTATATGAATTTTTTTGCTGGGTGATTTTGAAGTTATAGTAATTTTTATCTTCTAAAAAAATTATTCTGACATCTAAAAATAGTGATTTAGTACAACAAAAGTTTTAGAATATTATTTTATGCAATATTTGGTAATTTGATTAAATTCTAAAAATATGATTTTTTTTAATATGATTTTTGTTGTCTACCATTATGACATTTTGACTTTTTTTTATTATGATCAATTATATTTTATTTGTTGTAATGTAATGAAAATGAATGTTGATATGTAATTGAAATTACTGTTATAATACTGTGATAATAATATGTGTGTAAAAGAGAAGTAAAGACTGGTTGACCTATTAGTTGGAGACTTATTGACATGTACAAAATGATGGGTCGACGGACTTTTCTTTAAATATTGTGTTTTGATGTTATCATATATTGATTCATGTGATATTGATAGGGAGTTATAAGAAGATGATTACTATGCCGACGAGCAAAGAGTAACGACCCTATTTATTGAGCCAACTGTTTATTAATATTGATATAATACTGAAAAATACTATGATAGCCATGACTTCTTACTTGTTTAGTGTGACTACTTAAATGTATATTTTTGAGGCATTTTTCTTATTATTGTATGTTTTTTTTTTAATACTGCATGAATTTAGTGTTATTGTATTATTCAACTGCTCGTGTCATTGAATTGTTATTATTACCAATTTAGATACTTATATTAATTAATACTACTGATATAGTAAGCATGTGATATATTTATGATTTATTGAGTATATGATATAGATATTGAGATTGTGATTGAGATACTGATTTAATGCTAATATAGAATAACTAGATAGTATGTGCACACTCTTATATAATTTTATTGAATTGACATAATTTCAAAAGTCTTTACTAATGTTTTGATTTGATACTTTATACAATTTATGTACTGATTGATATTACGAATATGAAGATTTCTTTATAGATTTAACACTCATATTTGCTTACTACTTTACTGATTTTTATATAATAGTATTTTACTGTTTATAGATTCTATTACTACTGCATGTAAAATTTATTGATTTAATGATCATATGAATGTAAGTGTTACGATATGACTATTGACATGCATATTGTTCATTTGTCGTGCTTTGAATTCAGTTGTAAGTTTTTGTGACATATTGAGTTTTTTTTAAGCTCATTATATGTGGTTAAATGATTTCAGGCCTGGATAAAAAAATTGGAGTATGAGACTGGTCAGGATTCACTAGAAGTTGATTAGAACCTCTGTAGTCTATATAAGGAAATCTGAAGAGTTCCCCCAAAACTTAGAACTTGAGCTGGCCTATCCCAATTCAGCATGGTAAGATTTGTATGTCTATGGGTTATGTCAGGTTGAGCTGTGACATTATCAACATTTAGAAAGTTATTAAAAAAGTCATTTGCTTATAGGCATCACTTCAAAATTATCCTAAATTAGAAGTTTATCAAACCCCACTCTAATCAAAGCAAATTTAATAAAATTAAAATGTATGATCTTATCTCTAATATTGAACCCACTGTATAATACATATTTTCTTCATCATTAACCTTCCTCGAGAGAAGTTTATGAGTTAGGGCTATAGAGAATTGCAATTCATGAGAGCATAAAAAATTTGCTTGAAGGGAGATTCATTGGCCCTTCAAATTAATATGATTACAACTTTAAAAATGTACAATAACTTTATTCGTTACACCCTCAACTATTTATACGACTTAAGTAATGAAATGCCTCTCTACATGAAGGATTACTTGGGACCTCTATAATATGCAAACCAAATAAAATTATTTCATTACACATAAGATAATAATGAAAAATAAGATTTGAACCTTGTCCAAACCTAAAGTCTAAGCCAAATGTATAAAAACTTGTTGCAACTCAATACACACAAGATTTAAGCCATGTTCAAGGATATGCTTATAAGCTAACGCTCAAACATTAGCCTCAAACTCAATCCAAATGAGGTTGAAACAAAGTTTAAGAAGATTCAAATAAGGTTCAAACCTTATATTACAAGTTTAAACTATATGAACCTAGGTTGAATCCCTAATTGAGCTTAGTTTCATATATAATAATTGAAGATTAGGTTTAAAATCTAAGTTTGAATTAGATTCCAACATTGTTTGAACACTGAATGTTCAAACAAAATTTGAATGCCATATTATGTGTTTAAACCTTGTTCGAAACACTTTTGAAGTTCATTTAGGGATCATTTTTGAATCTAGGGTTCTCCTTGCATTCCCTTCCTATTATCATCAAGGAGGATTGTTGGTATTGAAACTGAAAAATGAATGCATTTAATTCTAAATAACAAACTAAAAACTAACACTAACCTTGTAAATATATATTGGAAAAAATAACATTGAAGAACTTGTTGAAGGCTTTGATATGTGATCAAGACAAAATGGCTTTGTTAAAGGCTTGCTCAATCGAGTTTTGATATCATCAACAGAGTAGATGTTTGAGAGAGAAGTTTGAGCAGCAATATTGTATGTATATTATCCATCATATTTTACTTAAAAGATAAGTTAGCCCAAAATGAACTTTTTGGCATATTTCCTTAATTAAAATATAAAGGGCACACTTATCCAAATAATTGTATTATGAGACGTAAAAAGTCAAAGTTTTCCTATAAAAATATAAGTATAGAATGAAAATTTTAAATTATAATATAATGCTTAATATCTAAAAATCATAATAATAAAACCATCTTCTTTATCTCCCATGCATTGTATGAGCTTATTTTTATAAACTATATATTAAAAGAATGCAAATGAGAGAAAAGGTGAAAGAGCTATTAGACAGTTTTATTTTGGAATGACTGCCCTTTATTATTTACAAGATTTTAAATTAAAAAATAGACAAAATATTAATAAAATAAAATTATTTAATTTTTTTCCTTTATTTTAAAATATTTAAATCTATAAAAATAATAGGTGCTAAATTTTCAAAAGAATAATGACACTCAAAATGTGGTGGAACTAATAGTATTTTTAAATTAGTTTTAAGAGATTCTTATTAAGAGTAAACTATATCATTATTATAGTTATCACAAATTAAATTTTTTCTTTGCTAAGTTACTTAACTTTTGATAAAAACAAATGTGCCATAAATTCTTCATATATGCATCTAAGGCTATATATTTGTAATAAGTCATACATTTATATAGAATATATATGTGTGTGTGTGTGTGTTTAAGAAGAATAAACAAAACAAACATTGAGAAAAAAGGCAAGCTTAATATTTTTATTATTTAGTAATGTGATTTATATAAGGTATGTCAAGATCAATAATACAAATATCACACAAGATGGTTTTAGAGGTTTATCTTATCATGGTTGAGGATTTATTTCTTATGAGGTTTTATAATCTAAAATAATAAGCTAATTACAAGATTCCACCTATTTGATCATATTGGTTTTAAATAAATTGAGTTTTCATTTGTGGCAGCTTTCTTATTGCTTATTAAAGCAAATGTTTATTATAAAAAAAAAATTTCTACTAAAAAGCTGCTTTAAAAAATAGTAAGAAAGTCATCCCAAACGGAGCCGGAGTCAAGCTTGAATCTACTAAATCTAGGTTTCATTTAGGATGACTTTTTTATTGCTTTAGAAGCAGCTTTCTAATAAAAAAAATTTGTATTAGAAATTTTTTACTAGAACTAAGCCTTTAGCTTCATATGGGACGACTTTCTTGTTGCTTTGTAAAGCTACTTTTTAGTACAAAAATCTCTTGGAAGTAGGAAAAAGTATTAATAAGTTGTCTCAAACGAAGCCTTAAACTTAAATAACTAACTGATTTTGAGGCCAAACTTAACCTCAACTTAATAATTTAAAGATAGCTCACACTTTTACTTGATTTTCTTATGAAATAAAGAAAATAAATGATATTTTAATGTGCCATAGTGAAATCATGAAAAATAGTGAATAATTAGAAAAAATTGTGAAGGGAATGATCTTTTAATGGTAGTTTTCACACTTATATTGCTGAATAAAGTATTGACAATTGAGCGCCTTCCACCTATTCGGATTAGGGCTGTAGAGCAATAGTGCAGCCTCACAGCTTGCTACTGCACGCACAACATGGCTGCCTCCGCCTTCAGATCATTCCTTCGATCTTCTTCTATTAGCACCGCGGCACGAGAGGTTCGCGCCGCCTTTTCGGAGACGATAGGCTCTCGCCCTCCTCTCTGCCTCCGCAAAATGAGGCCAGCTTCCCGTCGCATGTTAAGGTATGGTCACGAAATTCGACATAATTTATCGGATTTTGAAGAAGGAAGAGGATGGGAGGAAAATGATCTTAACAGAATCTTTGTTTAAAGCTTAAAGTGTAGGGTTTATGGTTTAACAATTGACATGTTTTGTCATGCTCTCTTGTTCTGGTGAGGTCCCCGGCTTTGTTGAGTTGCTGTGTCGAGTCGTTTCTACCAATGCACAATGCTACTTCTGCGGCGTTGATGACTTCAATGCTGTCTGTGTCCATGAAAGGCTATGGTTGGCTTTCGGAAGGTATCTGTCCGCCTTCTATTCATGCTTTGTTTTGTGGTGTATGCTTTTGATGTTGCTCTGCGATTTTTGATTTTTTCGTTTGTGTTTGATGCATTCTATTTCTGTTGCGTGATGCACTGGAGCTTCTTATTGGTTTCAAATTCTTCTAAGCCGCCAAGAAAGCAAAGTTGTTTGGCCGTAAAGTATTTTGATAACTTAAAATTTTTAGTTCAAGTACACCTGTTATATCAACTGTTTTAATTGCACCTTATCGGGGCGATGACAAGCCCTGAGAAAGAAGATCCCGCATTTATGATTATTATCATAGTTTCCTGAATCAGTATTTACGTGAAAAATGAATTAGGAAAAAAATTCCTCTTCTACGATACTAGAAAAAAAAGATTTGAAATGATGCTAAAAGAACTTACTGAAATTCTAAAAATACCTTGAAACTATTTTATGAAAGAAGCGCTCTTCACGAAATTTGGCAGGGGAATCCTCTGTTACTTGTTTCTATAATTCCCTCGTGTGCTATTGACAACAACTTGTCCATTTGAAGAGCATAAGTGGAGGTGCCCTGGAGATGAAACACCATACAAATAAATGTCGAGAAGAAATGTTTTTAAATTTTGGTACCTTGATGAAATGTGTGGGATAGTCTTAAGAATAATACAACTACCCACACTCTATGAAGCTTTTTGATATTTTCAAATTTCTCATCCATTGGAGAAGGATCTACCCTGTATGTTTGCTTCCCCCAACACCATCTAAACTTTGACAATAAACTGCAAAAGGGCCGGCCTTGGTGTGATCAGTGTAAATTGAGTCATACCAAGGACACTTGCTAGAAGATCCACGAGAAACCAAAAAATGGAAACTTACAAGTTCTTACAATAACAAAGCCATGTACATGTCGACTCTAACAACTCATAACTGAAAATAAAGAGCAAATGGGTTCTCTCCAAAAAATGTTCATTCAATCTCAAAACAATTTTGTTATTGTCTCTATGGTGATTGGTACTGGTCTTGTCTCAAACATATAATCTCATAAATGACTTAAATGCTAAAAGGTAAACCAAATGTTGTGGTTTGTAGATTCTAGTGTTATTGATCATATCACAATTGATGTCTTAGTTTTAGAAAATTAGAAATCATGCAATGTGGGACTTAAAGTTAGAATTGTTGACAGTTCACCTTAAGTAGAGTTTTGAAAGAGTTGCTCAAGGAAGCTTCTTTGCCTACTTTGACCATGTTGTTCCTATCAAATCGCAAGCACGGGGGTCTTGCAGCGAAGGTAATCGTGTAAAACCCGCAAAACGTTGTTTTAGACCTCGCACGCTTTTCAAAGCGTCGCGACGAGTTTTAAGTGGAAAGTTCGAAGTTGTCGGATTTCGACGGAAATAATTTTATAAATTAGAGCGCAAAATTCTAAGAAATTTGATGTATAGAAC